GTTCTTTCTCGAGAGTCCTTCTTCGATTGCCTTAAAAGCAGCAAATCCGTTCGGGCGGAAGATCACTTTCGCCCCTGCTTTTGCTCCTTTCGAGCAGAACTACTTGTGTGCGAAGTTGCTTGCCGAAATTAGCATAATGCCTGGAATTATGCAATGCTTTTCCCGACTCTCCAGCTCAGTTGCTTAAGTGCACTTTCCGCCCCGAAAACAAACAAACAAACTGGCAAACAAACTGACAAACAACTGCAGCGGGTTTTCAACGGGCGCAGGTCAAGTAAATCAACGCATTACACTTTGTAATGTGGCTCAAGATTCGAGGAGTGCAGTTTGCTGGATGGGGCAGCGTGTTTGGGTGTAAGTGCAACTGCAGTGATAATGCCAATAATTCAATTATCCTGCTGCGCTTGCCCCCTGTCGCCTGTCACCCCCTGGCCCTCGGCCACCAAACAGCTCCTTGTCTGGCTTATTGTTATTGCCAAATCGAGTGACTAGTGACTGGCTGATATTGTTGCTGCCACTGCCGCTGCTGGTGTTGCACTTACAACTCCAGAGATTGCTGCCACTTTCTGCCCTCGCCTCGCACGCCCTGGTATTAAGAAGTCACTTAGCTGACAGCCAGATAACAAGGAGCAGCATCGCCATCCTTTCAGCAGCTTCCTTTAGGGGTGAAAGCTGCACAACAGGACGTAAATTGAAAACAATAGTTGCAATCCAAACGACACACGAAACGTATCAATCTGTGTGTAATCTCCGGGCATGTGTGTATAGATATAAATATGTGTGGCTTTCGGAATATATTCAGTGCAATATGGCAAACAGGTCGACAGTGAGTGAGAAATTTGTTGGATATATTGCACCTGCAATAATTTTACTAATTTGTGGAGTACTTAAAGTTGACACAATACATAAGTATAGATTTCAATGCTTTAATGGAACTTAAGCCTGCCACTGTGCATACATATTATAGGTTTAATCACACATGTTATGATTGTTTTTGAATACGTTTTTCCCTAATGAGAGAATCTATTTCCTATCCAAATCTTGGAACATTTATATACATTTTCTGAATGAGAGAAACAGCAATTGCCTTTCTACTTTTCCCGCTGAAAGTCAATGCTCTTCTTTAATGGGCCACTGGAGTCTTAAAGTGCTTTCTTCGCTTCCAGTTCAGGCGGCATTAATTGTCGGCATAATTTCATTACGTTTCATTCATTAAAACTTTCAAAATGGAGGCAGCCAGCAACAAGACACAAATGGAAAACGGAAAAATGTTCAGCAAACATTTCCCTCGAGGGGTGAGGACTTAAGGCTCTCTCTGGAATTATGGCTCATTAAATGACATAATGCAGGCCGAGGAGGAGAAGCCGAAATTGTATTTGTGTAGCGTTCTTTTTTTTGGGGCAATGGCAGATGCTCCTTAGCTTTGAGTCCTGTGTTCTTAGTTCTGAGTCCTGAGTCCTTGGCTTTTTGTAACCGCAGGGCGATTGCCGCCCGCTGGCGTCTGCTAATGTCTTTCTAATACACAGACACGCACCGAGGAGACACTCACACACTCGTGGTAAAATCGCAGCGGGACTTCCAGGACATCCAGGACACTTCGCCGACATGTGCCGCATAATAGTCACGGCTTGATTTTTCTCGCTGCCTCGGCTTCCTGCTCCTTGAGGCATGCGTATGTGCTCCTTAACTGCCGTTGCGTCTTTTTCAATTACACACATAATTAAATATGTTCCGCCCACCAAGGCCGAGCAGATGGGGGCGTGGCATCCCGCAGGGATTTTCCATCCCAGTGAGAGAGTGTGTGTGTGTGTGCTTGCCAGCCAGACAAATACTCCAAATCTCTCCCAATTGTGCGATATTCCCCGCCTGCCATATCGCATTTGTAAACTTTAATAAACATGCTGGATAATTAAATTTAATCGCATGCTTTTATTTTACATTAGCATGTGTGGGCACACACACTTTCATCCCCGGAAAAATGACAGACTCTATTTGCTGTGGCCAAATTCAATTTGCCACCAAAGTCCTGGATCGTTTGGTTTTGGTCCTTGGGCAAACAATTCATTTCATCCGGTTTGGCTCAAAAATTTTATTTGCTCGTGTCCCACACAATGAGAGTTCTGGTCCTCTATTTCTCTTGAGAACTCAAATGCTCTAGACTAGGCAAACAATTTGTGGTTAGATAATTGCAAAAATTTAAGGATTTCGAGTTTTTTTTTTATTCCCCCACCAGCCTGGCTTCAAGTTCCATTGTGGTGAAGCTTCTTCTATAATTTGTTTAGCCTAAAAGTGGGGGATAACATCATCCCACTTTCCGTATCTGCACAATCTCCCCTGTCTGGGTAATCTGTGAGCCAATAAATTTATGCCGAAATATGTCTATTTGGTTTTTTTTTCCGGCTTGTCAAAATCTTGGTTCCACTTTGCCGGGGGATATAAATACAATTTGCAGGTTTTAATAACCGCAGCTGTCACCACATCGCCTAAGTGCAGCGCATAAACCAGCTCAGAGTTAAAACACAATCCTGGAGGAGACCAAAAAGTATACAAAAAACAAATGGCAATGGGAAAATGGGAAATGGGGAACCACAATTTAGGATCAGAAACAGGAGCTGGTATAGAAATAGAAAACGAAAACGAAACATAAGGCAGACGGCAAATAAACGCCACGGAAATAAAGATTTTTATGTGGCCCAAAGTGGAGCGACATAAATTGCTGGGAAAAAGTGCGCAAAAGTGTTTTGTCGTCACCCTCGCACCAGTTTACATGGCGAAAAACCCGTACACCCACACATCCAAGGCGGGCAAATAAATTTCTATTAAACACAAATGAGCAACAGAAAAAAAAGTTTTTCTAAGAAAAGTAGAAAAGTTTTATCCCAACACACACACACATCATTGACAGAAAAATGTTGTTCTTTTTTCTTCTTCCCTGCTTGGAAAACTTTGTGCCAACAATAATTATGTTGATTACAACAAAGAGGCAACTTTTGCCCTCTTCAATCTGCTGCTAAGTGTTCTTCTTCCACTCTCGTTGTTGCTGTTGTTAAGGGCTTAAGTAGGAAAACCGTCAATATCCATAATTATATACATGCATCCATGTTGTTTACGGGAATTACGGTTATTATTCAACGTAGTTACCGAATTATTATTTCGCATAAAGCCCACTAGTCTGCTTATTTTCATTTAATCTTCATTTTCGGGGATTGTACGAACATAAATTATTAACAGGCGAATTCGTGTATTAAAGCCGAAGTGAGTCTGCTCTGCATTTCAAATTGATGATTGGCAAGTGATGGCAATTAGATTTTGCACTTATCAACAATAATTCGGATTTTGAAAACCCATTTTCACCTCCCGCAAAAGCATACAATATACGAATGTGGTTTTCAAATTAATTTAAATCCTAGCATTTAGTTGTTAGCCAAAATCTAACTAGCCAACAATACCAGCCGTCCTGGCAACACACTACTAATTATACTAATTACCGAGCGTGAGATAACGCATCATAATTAGCCCGATAATTGTGTTTTAACATGGCGCAAGTGCGGCATATTGTTTTGGCCGGGAAAACTGGGAAAACCGAGGAAACAAGTTCGTTGCCGGCATTGTTTTTTTTTATAAATTGGCCAGGACCTGAACTGCACACCCGCTGGCCATCAATCAGGTGAACTACCCATCCTTGGTGTGTGTGTGTGTTGGTGTGTGTGTTGTTGTGCCCTTGTTTGCCGGCAGCAATTTGAAAGTCGCGTCTAATCTTTGGCCTGTTGGCTCACGTGATTTGTTTGCAGCATCGCCAGGAGCAGCGAAGGCAGCCGGGCATAAATCAAAATGCCATTTTTGATAGCACCGCCCCCCTTTTCCACCTGCCGCCCCCGAGACAATATATCAAATTGCTTTTGCATTGCGCGCATGTAACATTTTATTTAGATTTCTGCTCAAAGATTGTTACTTCACCCCACCACCACCTGCATTGTCTGACTAAAAATAAAAGGAAAATGGGAGGGAAATGCACCAAAAGCAGCAGCAGCCGCCCATTAATCATGTGTTGAGGCCAAAACCGAAAGTCTAAGCTGGATGCTAGACCCTCTCAGCCATTATCCCGATTCATAAACCATTATAGTTTTCCCTGTTCTCTGTTCTCAGTGTGTGTGACCATCGTGGCAAAAGGGTTGTGGAAATTTATGTGTTGCAATTATTTTCTTGAAATAACACTTAAAGTGATTTACGCGACGGGCATGTGTGAGCCGGAAAAATGGTCAAAACGGGCATTCCTCGACCCTTTTGCTGATGTGGCTGCTTATTCCGGCTCATTGGCTTTCAGCGCTTTGCATCGCACTTAATAGGATTTGCTGGCCGTTCCAATCAAATCGGAATACCCGAAAAGGGGCCCAGTCTATACAAATGACTGGGCAAATTGCCGTTCATGTGTTCAATTTGTGGCTCAGACTTTAAGAGACTGTTTTACGTACTCCCGAAAAATTTGCCTCTCAATATTGAAAGCGTTGCATCAAAGGGGCGTGGCAGGTGCCGGCGGCCTGTTTGCAGTTTGCTGTTTACCGTGTGCACACCACTTGCAACGAGTTGCCAAATGAGTCCGCTCGAGTGGAGCCCAGATCAAAGGCATGGCCCGCCGGCGTTGCCACCCATTCACCCATTCTGCCACCAACCCACCCACTTCTTTACAGCCCCTCTTTCATGTGCACTTAATTGTCGCCTCCATTAGGCGACTCCGGGGCGCCACGAAAAGTATGCAACTGGCCATAAATCCAATGCGCTAAATTATTACCTGTAATTGCGCCAGGCATAAAGCATAATTTGAAATTTATGTTTATGTTTCTGGCCGCGGGCAAGCGTCGTCGTCCCTAAATTATCGGCTTAATGTGCTCGAAAATTCCGGCAATGTGCACCCATCGCAAATTGAATTGGGCACAGCTTCCATTAACCTTCAGCCCTAATGGACCGACTTTCATGAACTTTCTCGCTTCCCCTCTTTGCAGACCTGCTACGAACTGGAGCGCTATCTGAAGGATGAGCCGAAGCTGCAGAAGAAGAACAACCCCTGGGACATCTTCTCCACGAACGCCCGCCTGCTCGAGGAGCTGAAGATCAAGGAGCAGCACCTGGACACGATCTCGACGACCTCCTCGCTCTCGTCCATCTGCTCGCGCATCTCGTGGGACAGCAATGGCTCCCAGGCGCTCAGTTGCTCCGTGCTGGTGAAGCAGGAGCGGATCGACGAGGAGGACGACGAGGTGGGCTGTGACGACAAGTTGAGTGTCCTCCTGGCGGCGCCACCCTCGGCCATCTCCCCCAATCCCAGCATCGGCAGTGCGGGCAACATGACGCCCACCAGCAGCAGCAGCAGCAGCAGCATCAGCAGCAATAGCAGTGGCACCTGCAACACCAGCAGCAGCAACATCATTGCCAGTCCGCTGAGCAGTCTGGGCAGTGGCAGCACCATCACAGTGAGCTCCCGGAACAGCACGGCGCCGGGCATTAAGGTGCGAGTGGTCCAGGCCAAGGGTCACCAGGGCAGCAGTGCGAGATTGCACCTTGGTCATGTGCAGGACTTTGTGCTGCCCACGCTCACGCCGCCCTCCTCGCCAGAATCCAGCCTGCGCAGCCACAACTACGCCCAGCAACTGGAGGCCAACGATCTGGCGGCACTGATACAGCAGCAGCGGCAACAGCAGCAGCAACAGCAACAGCAGCAGCAGCAGCAACATCAGCCGCAGCAGCGACAGGCACAGCAGCAACACCAACAGACGAGCAACTCCACACCCGCAACAGCAATCCTGCGATTCACCAGCCAGAGCAATCCCACAATGACGCAACTGCAGCAGCAGCAACAGCAGTTGGCCGTCCAGCATTTGAGCATATCGCCGCAGGGCCTCGGCAGCAATTCGCCCAAGAGCACCAGCAGCAGTAGCAGCAACAGCAGCAACAGCATCAGCAGCAGCAGTAGCAGCAGCAGCAGCAGCATCAGCAGCAGCAACAGCAGTAGCAGCAGCAGCATCAGCAGCTCCAGCAACAACAGCAGCAGCAACACCAGCGATCAGCCAACCCACAGCAACATTCCGCGCAGCACCATCGTCCGACTGACAACGGCCAACGGCAAACCGGGAGCCGCGGGAATCAGTCTGGCCCGCGTCATTCAGATGCAGAACAACGGCAATGCTAATGTTGCCGCCGTGCTCAGTGCGGCAGCCAACAGCAGCAGCAGCAGCAGCAGTAGCAGCGGCAGCACCAGCAGCAACAGCAGCAACACAGCGACACCGCAGCAACAGGTGACGTCGCAACGGGCCGAAAAGTCATCGAATGGTGAGTTTGGCAAATACTTGACCTAGTTCAAGACCCCTCTTAACCCTGTTCCCTTTTTTTCTCAAACAGGCTCCTCCAAATCGCACCACCCGCGCCAACATCACAGCGAACACAGCCCGGACGCCAAGCGGCGAATACACAAGTGCCAATTTCTGGGCTGCAAAAAAGTCTACACCAAGAGCTCGCACCTGAAGGCCCACCAAAGAACGCACACAGGTGAGTGGGTGGGGAATCCAAAATATGAATGAACTGAGTGCGGTGAGAGAGTGTGTGCAGTGTGTGTGTGTGGAGTGTGTGTGCAACTGACAGATCCGAATTTCCAACTGCCACAGTCGGCAATTAAAAGCGTGTGCCTTGGGAAGAGGGCCGAAAAACCTTAACCCACCAGCAACCTCACCTGTGTTGCTGTGCTCCTGTGCTGCCCCAATAAATCAGAGGGCTGCGACAACAATGTCCTCGACAGAATTCCCTGGGACAGGCAGGAGTGACATGTTGCATTGTTTGACCGACACCGTCCATTGTCCACCACGTCCACTCCCCACTTTCCACTTTCCACAGCCTTGCAGTCGCGGCGGGAAAAGCGGCAAAAACATGCAATGGGCTGGATGAATTGGGGGGCAGGATCATCCGACGGGGATTGGGCACCGGCAATTGGGCATGGGCATGGGCATGGGCATGGCCACCAAAAACAACCTCATCGCCTGACAGCAGACGATGCTTGAAATTTCAATAAAAATCGCATAATTCAAACATGAAATATTGGTCACACACACATCGCCAGTTGAAATAGCGTTGAAATGTAATTTTATTACAACCACATTCGAACACGAGAGAGCAAATCTATTGATTTGTGCTCCACATGAATGGATGTGCGTGTGCGTGTGCGCTTACAAGAGCTCTGCCAGCGAACACTTAACCCATAAAATAGAAAACCAAAATCCATTTCAAGTTCTGCCAAAAATTGGACAAAAAAAAAAGTTTGCAGTTGTTGGCGAAAAACATTTGTGCGCATTCAGTTAAAATTTGTGCACCGAAAGGAAAATCTGATGGGCTTTCCAAATATCCCTGTTTCCAATCAGTTTAGTATTTTTCTAAATTTTTATCTGGTTTTCTTATCTGCTGAGAAAAACTCTTATCATTTAAGTTTAGAATTGAGAAACCTTCTTCAATTTTGCAACTTAAACCTTGTTTTAGCTTACCATCTTCCTAATATCCAATCCATTTCTTTTCTGTGTAAACCAAGGACTTTGCTCTCGCTTTGCTTTATGAATTTGGTAGATTCATTCTTTGTTTTGGCTTGTCAGTTTTCTTGGGGCGCCAAAAGGGGTGGGACCAACAAATCATTTGGCACACACTCAAATGCCAGGCAAATGATTTTGCAATGTCTTTGCCAAACAATTTATACAGAAGAAGCAGGAAGAGCCCTTCTGCCGCATTTAGTTCCGAATAGTGTGTACCCTGGATGAAGAGTGGGTTGGTTGAATGGGTATTATGGCAGGTCATGTGTGGATTTGTTTACTTATGCATGCAAGTGTTGGCATTGCCCCGACCCCAAGTCCCATTTGGTTCTTTGCAAGCCCAGCATGTTTTGTCGGCAAATGAAATTCGGGCCTCGGTTATTTCTCACTCAAGTCGACAGAATGGCAGTGGGTTTTGGGCCGCTTTGTTTGTCCAGTGGCCGAATGTTGGCCAAAGTTGCTCTGTTCCAGGCCGAAATGGCCCCTTGAAGGCGTGGCCATCATCAGCACATAAGCAAGATTCATGTGCAGCTCAGGGCTCGGCAAAGGTCCTGCCCTCCTTTCACTTTGTGGCAAATGTCAACAGCAACAACTTTCTGTGACAGCCGCAGGATATTGCTCAATTTATAAATTTACTTTGGCCCCGGGCGGCGGAGCTTAACATTTTAATTAACATCGAATTCCGGACCTGCTCTTGTTTGCCTTGGCCACAAGTAAGCCAAAAGCCTTTGGTTCAATAAAAATCCATAACAGTCAAAGTTTTTGCTCATAATTCTCAGTTTATCTTGGCCAAACCAAAAGCCAAGCACCCAACTAAATTTAAACGCTCATCCGCCCTGTTGGCCCATTGTTTTGTTGCCTCAACAGCTTTAAGTGTTAATTTTTGCCAAGGCAAACTTCCATAGTTTCCCCTGAACCTGAACCTGAACTTCAAGAGTTTTTAATTAATTACACATGTTCAACTACTGGAAGTGCAGCAGGGCAGATAGGAAAACGGAAAACCCAGGGAGACCAATAAATCAAAAGCCAAGGTGTTGGCCCGACGATAAGATTGAAACATTTGATTTGGCCCCGAATTCCAGCGAGCCGGGCCAAAAAAAAGGAAAAAAAATGTTATGAAAGGAGCCGGGCGAAAAAGGAAAACGTAATTATTTTAATGATACCATGGAGACCAGGCGAGGTTTTTAAATTAAAGAAAACCTAATGAATTACGTTTTTTGCATGGCAAATGAAGCTCGGAGGAGAATTTCATTAGAGCGCCTAGATGGAGCATTCTTAAAATGTTGTCGCATTTGAAAAGCGGACGCATGCAAATAATTGATGACGAGCTATTATTTATTTGCCAAACAGTGTCCTTGAACATTCTGCGACGGGTTGGGCGGAAAACAGACAGTGAAATTAATTTGATTTGGGTTTTCGAGCGCACTTCCTGCGTTTCCTCCTGTGGCTTTTCGACCATTTCCATTTGCATGTCGTCCCGTCGCCATTTAATTAGAAAGCCATTCAAGCGCATTGGCCTCCCACACAGCCAAACATGCAGTTGATATATGTATGTATGGGCACAATTGAATATCAATTAAAGCGACATTCGGCGAAATAAAATCATGCTCGCAAACTTTGGCCACAAACGATTTCAATTAGTTAAACGCAGGCGGCTATAAAAATGCCAGAGTGGCATGCAACCAGCGGCTGAGGAAGCCCGGGAAAATCCCGGAAAAGCAGGAAAAGCGCCGAGACGCCGAAGCCGTTAAGAAAAGATTACAAATGCAATCAAGTGAGAAGACGCAAACAGACCATAAAAATTGTGTTGAGTGCAAAAGCCGAGAAGGCATCGAGCAGCTCCATAAAGAGGCAAGCCACGGAGGAAAAGAGATTCCTCAGCCATTTTCCCAGCCCCCAGCCCCCGCCCCATCCCGCATTTCCCGACGGTGCATTCTTTCCTAGTGCCGACTGAAATTAAAACCCAGCGCCAAGTGAAATTTATAAAATATTAACTGGCTCCATTCGCTGCTCCTTTTTGCTAAGCGGCTGCCTTCTTCGTGGCCGCCTCCTTATTGCCTTTAAACAATTTACAAGTGCAGGCTTTATGGCCATGCCGGAATCGGGGCTGAAACTGAAACTATCAATATATACGTATATATACAGACAAACGGCTGAGGTTAAGTTTTAACTGCGTTCGGCTCAATAAATTAACATGGCGACGTCTCGGCGCGATTGGAGGAAATAAAAGCAGGCGAAAATCGCTTAACCCAGTTGCCGATTGGCTGGCTTTTTGGCCAGGTCCACCAGTTCCGCCAGTTCCACCAGCTCCATCGCCATCGCTGCTAACAATGTCAGCTCAGATGACTTGCCATGAAAACTAATTAAAGGGCTTTTCCCGGAAAAACCATCTTGTTCCACATGCGCGGCCATTGCATACTTCTGGGCTTGGCCCGTTGAAATGGCCAATATCCTGGGCTTGAGTAATAGCAAACTATTGGGCCAGGTCCGCAGAGTGCATTCAAAAGAGTAGAGAAAAAGGGTATATCGAACTGACATTTATTTTATGTTAAATATATGTGTATTTGATTTTAATTAATTGTGTTTTTCTTAACTATAAAAAAATAGCAAAAAAATACTATGTATATTTAAACTACTATCTTTTAATGATGATTTTCCCAGAAGGTTTATCTACATTTCAAGAATGGAAACCCCCAAAAAGGGTATCCAATTAGTCAGTTATTGGACATCTCCCATATTTTGTTGTTGGCTCGTTTCGGTTTCATTTCGTTTTTGGTTTCGTTTCGTTTCGTTTTGCCGGGTCACTTCAATGGCCAGATAACACGGCCATTCTGGGTGCTTTATCGCTGCTTTTCCCCTCGGATTGCCGACCGCCCGCTGCCAGCTCTTTTGCCGTTTAAATGCACTTCAATACGAGACTCTTGGGGGTCGCATCCTAGATCTCTGGGCCTGCACTTTGTGCATTTGACGCTGATTTACACAGCCAGAGGATTGCAGGGCAGAAAGAGATAGTCAGAAACAGAGAAAAACTGATAGGCGGAGGGGGTGGAAAATGAGGGGGAAGAAGAGGGGGAGGTGTAGGTGGAGGTTGGCCAACAAAGTGCCAAAGACAACGATATGTGTGAGTGCGCATTCGTTTATTTATTGCCAATGCTTCGATACCAAAACAGTTCTGACAACATGCCAAAGTGCAAGTGGCAGTCACCCACATTCATATATTCACATTATCCTCAACACCAGAACACACTTACCAACAAAACTAGCAAGGCCATTAGTAGTAGCACAATTAACAACACATTTTCAGATATTCTTTATTGTGTTCTCAATACAATCTTTAACAACTTCATCCATAAAATATCGGTAGCACAGCATCATAGTAATCAACTTTTATATCAACATAATCCACCAACGGAAACTGAATACCGAATTTGTCAACAAAATCAACCATAAAAAAATTCTTTAAAATATTAATTTATTTAATTTTATTGAGGTATTTAACTTACACATTCACTAAACTTAACTTTTACTACAAAAATCAGCATAGTTTCATATTCACCAACAAATAAAATCAATATTACCAAGATGGTTACCAAAAACTTTCACCAACAACTCACCAACACACGTGCAAATCCACACACACAAGCACACACACACACACAGATGCGACTTGAGCCATGGCCAAGTGTAAACAAATGGAAATTAAGACAGCCGGCAAGTCCAAGCTCCGGTCAACGGAAGAGTTGGCTTGGGGAAAATGGGGGAAAATGTGGCGAAAATAGGGTGGAAAATGGGAGGAAAGCCGCAAGTGCATAATGTGAAATTGAGCACGGAAATATCACACATTTCCGCATGCATTAAGTTTTAAGCCAAGTCTATGTGTGTGTGGTATGCGTTACAAAGTTTTCCACTCAGCTTTATGCATTTTTCTTGGCTGTCGTCGTCTACTTGCCGGTTATCTCGCTCCATTTTCCTTTTTTTTCCCCACTGCTGCTGCTTTTCCAGCGGCAGCAACGGCGGCAATTTCCTGCCTCGGCTGCTGTTTGTCTTTTAAACTGAAATAATTTTCCCATTTTTATTTTTTTCGGGGGGCCTGGGCTTGCTTTCTCGTATTTTTTCAGTGTGTGGCAATGGCACTGGCACTGGCCAGCTTTACACCCCGCTCTATTCAGGTCTTTCTCGCTCTGGCTCCGCATTTTTAGGTTCCTCTTTTTTTGCTTTGTGTGAAATTACAACTTCTGCATTTCCTTTTCCTTTCGGCTGGCTGGTTTTCGCCATGGCTCTGTTTCTGATTCGGATTCGGATTCTGGCACTGGCTCTGGCTGTGGATCCTGCTCTGTATTTGGTTCTGTTTCTGGTTCTGGTTGGCTTTTGGCGCTACTCCGCTTGTATCCTTTGAGGCTTTTGGCACGCATGAAAAATGTTGGCAAAGGACCGCGCTTGGCACACCGTTGACGTCGACTTTAGCATCATTTCGTTTCGTTTCGTTCCGTTTCGGTTTTAATTTTACAGTTTTTCATTTTTAATTGTCTTAAATTCCTGACTGTTTGTGCGTTTGTTGGCCCCACCCGCCCCGCTTTTATAACCATTTTACCCCGTTTTGGGCCACCACCCTCTGTTTACTCGTGTTTTACTTTATGCATATTTCGCGTCCGCGGAGCTCCAGCGTCGAAAAAGTTTTTTCATTTGGCAGGCGCGTGCTAAATAAAAAATGTTTCCCCAAACTCTAGCCCTTGCCTCCCCGAGCACGCATATTTATGCGCTTTATTGTTTGTGCTGCAGCAGCGAAGTAGCGGAGAAATTGCAGCCACTTTCCACTGCGGCAGCTTCTAGACACTGAACGAAAATAAGATTGCCTTAATCCGGAAATACTTATAATAAATACAGCTATCCTTGCTAACAAGAATCTTGCTTAAACAACCTTTCATAAATCAAACTTCTCCTTAAAATTGTATCATAATAATTATTTCCATTTAATTAAAGAAATGTTCTATATTTTGCCTATTGATAGTAATAAGTACATGCTAACGTTGTAAAAAACATTTTAAAAATATTATTACTCAGCATTCTTAATATCACTAACAACCATAATTGTTTTGGTATAAAATAAGATCTGCATAGATTAAATATCATAAGAAAAGAATGAAATATTCTGGGATTTATATTGTAGGTCTCTTAGATCCCCCATTTTTTCCCAGTGAACTTTAGCTCTTACCATTTTGGAAGTAACTTATTTAATAAGAGTTTTCCCCCCCTTCCCGTTGCAGGTGAGAAGCCGTACAAGTGCTCCTGGGAGGGCTGCGAATGGAGGTTCGCGCGGAGCGACGAGCTGACCCGCCACTACCGCAAACACACAGGTGCCAAGCCGTTCAAGTGCCGCAACTGCGATCGCTGCTTCTCGAGGTCCGATCACCTGGCGCTGCACATGAAGCGCCACATGTGAGGCGAGATTTAAGCGGGGACAGCCGGGAAAGCCGGGAAAGCGGAGAAAGTCGGAAAAGCCAGAGCCGGAGAAAGGAAAGGAGGAGTTCAGCGGAAACTGTGTGCCATCAAGGAACGATGAAAAACTTGCGTAACGCTAATCAAAACCACTTAACTCGTGGAGCAGAGAGGGGTGGTAAAAATAAAAATATAAAAAACATAAACAAAAAAAAAAGGAGGAAAAACAAAAAAGAAAACATCACAACACAAGCACAAAGATGGAAATTCAAGTTCTCTGATTCTGATTGATATTTGTGTTGCCATTATTGTCGCCGTTATCGTTTTCGTTATCGTATGGTTATCGTCGTTATCGTTTCAATTGCAAATTCGATTTGTTTCAATGCCTTGTTAAGTGTAAGTTTAAGCTATAGCAGCCTGATCGCATTTCCCCCATTCACACCTAGCATTTAGCCGCAAGTTTTGAACAAACAGCAAAAATTGTGTACAATCTACCAAAGCTAAGCAGATTTCTTTAATTAGTGAAGCAGCAACAAAAACAGCAAGCGCTGAAAAAAAACAACAAAAAAAGAACCTAGTAATTTAATGGAAAAAGAATATTTTTGTTTTCATAATGTGAACACTGCCAAAACGAAAATGTAAAAAACAAAAAAAAAACGAAAATCTAAAACCTAGAAAAAATATATGTAATTGTAAAAAATTAATATAAATATTTAGTTTGATATGTCAGCAACAGTAAATAGAAATACAAATACAAGAAAAAAGAAGAGTGCAAAATATGTTTTAAACAAAACAAAACAAAACACAAAACGTTGAAAATGCTTATTTTCTTAAATTAATTTTAAATGTAATTTAAATGTTGCCTAGGTCTGAATATCATTTCACCGCACCACTACAAATAGGAAACCTATTAATATTAAATTTAATCATTGCCTAAATTAAATTTCAATTGATATTCGAAGAAAAAGCAATTTTGTTGCAATGTTTTTATGGAATATCCGTAATTAATTACTACACCCAAATTTTTCTTATGCATTGCCTAAGTGATGGAAAGTATTACGAACACATTTTGATAAGTATACCTAATTTAATCAAAATTTTTATTCTCGATCGAAAACACGAAACTAAATTTATCTTCGACTTAACATACAAATTCTTCTTTATGTGCCTCATTAATTATAGTTTTATCAATCAAAATCAATCAATTCCTTCTAGCTAAGTAAATTTTTTTCGGTACCCTCTTATTTCGCGGTAGTTAGTTATTTTCATTTCTTGTGTGCTGCATTTTATTTTGTAGTGTATCATTTCCTCATTGTGTTTATAATGATTTGTTTAATTTTTAATTATTTTTAAATAAAGAAAAAGTATGTGAAAAGCGAACGTTTCCATGGACTTATCATTTTCCACCAGCACCCCTCAGCGAATGAGACACGACATCAAAGTATACAACGTTGATCGAGAGCAGTATGTACACTTACGCATGTGCATATCGGTCAATCATTATGGTTTGTGTGATGAGAAATTCTGTGATCCAGAGAACAACAACAACAAAATAGCTAAGGCAAAGAAAAATAAGTGAAAAACCAAAAACCAATGACAGGCAGATAATCAACTGCAGCACACATGCACGAATATGGCCTAAAAGAAGGGAAACTTGGCCAAAAAACAATGCGAGTCCTCTCCAATTGCTCCCCAAAAAAGAGCAAAGGAATTTAGTAAAACTCTTGATATATATATATATATAAATGTTTATGTACATACGAAGAACGAAATACAATTTGTCTCATTTTTCTAGCTTTATTCTCACTGATTGTCGATGGGAGGAGAATTTGAACGATTTCGATTTGCAATCGTTGTCGATATCAATATGTACGTGTGTTGCTTGTGCTTTGTGTCCTTTGAATGTTATCGTATTTGTATGTACCGATATATCATCAGAACAACGCGCCACAAACGGAAAATCTATATTCCAATAGGCCCCCTTTAAAGGGCTCCTTCCAGTTCCAGAATCCCGTTTGGCTTCCAAGCGAAAATTGCACTGAACAATACTTAATGAAAACGTGAAAAATCCAAATCCAATACGATGTGTCAAAAATGCTTCAATCAGTTTAGTCTAACTTTTGAGAAAAACAAAAACCAAAAACAAAAAACCCAAAAACCGATACAGTAAAAATAGAAACCCGAATATAAGAAATATTTTGTATAGAAAACCTTTAAACTAAAAATCGAAAGCGTAACAGCATATTTAGATCCTAATGCAGATATTGGATAGTCACGAGCGCAGAGTGAGCGTCACTATAGATATGGATAAACCAGAATATATATATATATATATATGTATTTTACAACCGAAAAAGTGTATTTTAAAATGAGAAAATTAAACAAAATTATTGTGTAAAAAGGTAAAACAAAAATGAAAGACTGGTCAACGAGGTGTTCCGCGTTTATGCAACAATTGCAAAATAGAAAAAGTAAACAAATATATATATATGTACATGTATATGAGATTCCGAAACAGAAACCGATGGCATAAAGTACTACACTGTACTCCAAATTGTATATGAATATGGTGTGTGAGCCCAGTGCGATTAGGTTAAGTACCACTCGATCATTTCGATTCTCCGATTCGGCAGCAAAACTACGCATACGTAAGAGGGAAGGGGGCATTGCCGCGATCCCGCAATTAAAGTTAATGAAGTACGAATTTTAAGTAACGCTGAATGTGAGTCTAGAGAGTACTAAACCAAAAACTATGGATATATTTTAGTGTCTACACTTGAGCATTTTACAAAGGCAGCTCCCTGGGGTCAGCTTTTGCGAAGTCAACCAGCCGGCAAAGTACGAGAGTCGAGGGAAAATCTATAAACATTTTCTACAGATTTACAGCCGAGCATTACAACCAAAGGCAGAAAGTACAGAAGCCGGAAGTCAGCAGTCAGAAGAAGTCGCAGGGCAGGAAAATATTTGGCAGCAGGCACACATAAAAATAAATAAAGTATACTAAAACTAGAGTAAATACATTTTAATTTCGTTTAGAGTTTCGTTTGCAAATGTGCTTAGCAATTTTCCCATTCCTCCCCATCCCCAATCCCCATCCCCTTACCCATTTCCCAGGATTTTCCCCGCTCGAGAGCGGAGTATCATAAGCGTTTAGTTTAAGAGTAGACTAAATGGCGGAGGGCCAAGCTTAGCATAGCAGAAATATATTTCGGAGGAGAAATGGGCATATACACACACATATAGAGCGGGGTTCGGGGAGGGAAAGGAGTAAAACATTTTATGTAGGCAAATAAGGGCATAACTCGTAAAGATTTTGTGTATAGTTTAGTGAAATGAATTAGTTTAATGTTAAATGAACTCAAAAGTAAACTACATAAAAAATATATATATAAATATATACACGCGGATATGTATTTAAGGGAATATATGATACTTAAAGCGTATGGCGAACCTATTTACGTGGCAGTTGTGTGTAAAGTGTGTATGTGAATTAAATTAATGTGTATCTGTCGTAGGAGGTCGGGTAGGTCGAGTAGAAGCCAGTTTTTGAGGAGGATTATGCAAAGCATCTACAAATTAAGGCACAGCATTATAAATTACAACTAAAGAGTACGTTTTATTTGAGCTACGAACGCACGAACGGTTACTAAAGCAAAAATGGTGATGGAATGCAGATGAGGAGGAGGTCATAGGGTTATAGAAGTGGGGGTTACTGATTGGAAATATTAGGGTGGTGTGGCAGCAAGTGGTGATTACTTAGGATTTTTACGAGACAACTCAGTTTAGCCCTTCCTCGTTTCTGTACATGATCGCAACCCCAGGCATGCATTCATATTTATAATTGTAATCATAAGGCAGTGTAATTGATATCAAAAGATAAGCAAAAAAAACTAATGGTATAAAATGAAAATGGAAAATTCACAAGTTTCGGCACAGGAAAAAAACCAAACGAAAAATACATTTTAGGAGTAAGTGAATCAAAAAATAAAATCAATACAAAAAATAATAATTGTATTTAATGCTTGTGCAAAACAGAAAAAAATTCTTAGCTAATAGCAAATAGCAAAAAATCTAATTGTCAGTGTTTAATTACTATTATTGATGTGCATTCGATGTGTGCTAAGTTCACAAATCAAGCATCCCGTTTACCCAGATCCCAATTTTCCAGGTTCCTACAATCCTTGGCAGTTGTTTTCAACGATTAATTGTGTTTTCCGCGCTTTCCGCGAAACAAGCAGACAGTTAAAAACTAAATGAAAAATAGAGCCGAATAACTGAACTCGAAATAATTTTGCAGCTGACTCGAAATGTTTGCATAAATAATTAGTTGATTAACTGCGAGAATAATTAATAGAATTTAATTCAATTAGCATATTTTCAGCCTCTCCCCGCGCCCCTTAACCGCCTAGATTATATAATTATAGCAAAAGCGAACACAAAAAAAAGATATTGATCATTAAACATTATTAATTATTATTATTATGGCTTGTTTGTTGCGGCTTTTTGTGCATCTCCATTCGGAAATCATTTTATAAGGGGAAACAAATTATAAGAGAATCTAGAAAATAAATACAGAAAACATAGCAAAACAAAAAAAACCAAAAACGATGGAGAACATTTCTTGTACTTAGGTTTAGTTTATTATACAAACAAGAATAACAGCGGCAGAATGAAGCTAATTATAACAGCTAAACGTGAATAAGTGAGGAGACGAACAAGATCCATCAACATTAGAAAAACGTTATTTTTATTCTTGTATAAGTATAAACCGAAGGCATTTTTCAACGTATGACAACTATTATTGTACGTAACTTGATATTTTGATGAGAATTTCTGTGAACAAAGCAAAAAATAAAAAATCCCAAAAAAAACTGAAACATAGAAAAAATTAAAAAAAAAATACCGCTCGCAATTTTTATGGAAGTTGAAAGGGGTTGTAAACATGTTGTTGCATTTAAATGATGTTGATTTTCGGCTTGGTCAGCGGTCTGCATATATTTAACTTTTGTGATTGCAGGCGGCATTCGGCAAACAGTTCACATCATTAGCCCCACGGGAATGGGCAAAACCAACCGTCTATATTAACCCGACCAAAAACAAGCTGCATAAATGACATTAAAGCCCCGGCGGCGCAAGTTTGAGTATTAATTTTTAATTATACTTTATGGCAGGCGGGCAGCCATCAACGAAGTGTCCTGGCCCTCGGCATTTCGTCTGTCATTAAGCCTGGCTATTTGGTTATGGACTCCCGGCTTAAATCGTAAAGCGTGCTGGTAGTAAATCACGATTTGCAATGGGTAATTGGCAGGCTTGTCAGTCATTTTCAGCTTTTCAGGTTAGCCCGAAAGTATGCTGCTGCTCTGAATTTAAATCAATTTCTCGCTTGGCAAAACTTGGTTTGCAAAACTTTGGATGGAAAATCGCTTAGACTTTGTCTTAGTCTGCTAATGAAGATTCGCACAGACACATACACATACACGAAGGACTACCGGTGAAGGATGGACAACGACAAAAGTGCAGGCAAGTTTTCCACCGCTTTTCCTTGTCGTTTTTTCAACATCA